TCTATTGATAGAAATAAGGTGATAACGATGACGATGAAGACGATGATGATGATGAAAACGACGATGATGATGAAGACGATGATGACGATGAAAATGACAATGATGATGGGATGATGATGATGATGATGATTATCATGATGACAACAAGATTGATGTAACAACAACAACTGCAACAACAGCAAAAACAGCAACAACAACAGTTACAACAACAATAACTACAACAACAGTTACAACAACAATAACAACAACAAACTGTTCGTTCTAATTTGTCGACATCATAATGAAACATACTAACTATAGCACTGTGCGAATTTCAACCAGCCAAAAATCTCACGATTCTTATAAATCAATAAAATTACTAATATAAATAATAATAATATTATTATTATTATTAATTTAATTATTATTATTGTTATATTTTACTGAAATAATCTCATAAATATATCAATAATTATTACCAGTCAAATAGCTATTAAATAAATATCATCAACTGCAACCGCTGAGTATTATTATTATTACTATTATTTATTATTATTATTACTATTTTTTATTATTATTACTGTTATTCATTATTATTATTAATAATGTTGTTATTGTTGTTGTTGTTGTTATGCTGTTGCTGACAGATATATAGTGTAGCGTGAATTTATTTACTACTTTAATGCCATGATATATATCTTAATATATTTAATAAAATACACGTAAGCACACGCACACGCTCACACATACACACGCACACGCACACACACACATATATATAATAGTATACTAACTATACAAGTTTGACTTACCTTCGTTTGTGGTAGAAACAATGGCGATGAAATTTTATGATTGATAACAATTTTGATGATGATGATGATGACGCCGACGACGTTGATGATGATGAAGATGAGGAGGAGGAGGAAGATGGTGACGACGATTATGATGGCGATGATAAATAATTAAAATTTTAATTTTTTTAATTAAATTTTTTCTCACTTATTTTTTTTTAAGATTAAAATGACGATCAAACACATTTCAGGTTGAATTGCTAACACAGCAGAAATTATGACGTCATCAGCATTCAACAAAATTACATCAACACAACGACAACAACAAATACAATAACAACAACAACATAAAAAAACGTAAATAGCATCAGCGACGACAATAAAAACATCAATTGCTGTTTCCTACAACAACAACAACAACAAAAGGATAACAACAACAACAACAAGAGGATAACAACAAAAACAACAACAACAACAACAAAACAAAAACAACAAAATGTTGTCCAAAATAACAACAACATCAGCAACATCAGTCTTCAAACAGCAAAACAAATATCACCTCATCAACAACAGTACCATGCTACTACTACTACTTTTTCTACTACTATATACTATCGAAATTACTTCAACAAGTAAAATTACAGTAAGCAACAACAACAACAATAATAACCATAACAACAATAAAAATAGCAAAGATGATGATGATGATAATTATGGCGATGATGATGATGATGATGAGTACGGAAGCGACGAAAATAATGACGATGATATGGTAATTAAATTTGAAGTGCCGGAAGAACAACCGGCCAAAACTTTTGTCGGTGACGTCATGAAGATGATAAGAAGTAAAAAGTGGTTTAAAAATTTGAGAAATGCCAACAGCAACAACAACAACTACCACAACCGCAACAACAACAACAATAATAGCAGCAACAACAACAGCAACATGAATGTCCATTTTTTAATAAAAGAGCAACAGCACAACATGTTCGCGATTTCCGCAACATCTGGCGCCCTGGTGACGAGAAAAGTTTTCAACAGGGAGTCATTATGCAAACCAACAAAAAACAACAACAACGTCAACAACAATATCAACAACAACAACAACCGCAACAACAACTATCGCAACAACAACTATCGCAACAACAACAAAATCCATCCAAACACGTACAGCAACAACAATATTGATTGCATCTTTAAGGTAATTGTGGCAGCAACATTCACAGCGACACCAACGAAAAACTCAATCAACAACAACAATCCTTTAACGGCAACCTATCCGATAAATATTCAAATTAACTTGATTGACATCAACGACCACGCCCCATCCTTCAACCAGCCAATGGAAACGCTCTACGTCAGCGAGGGTTCACCCATAAACAAGACCTTCAAAATTACCCAAGCCAGTGACAACGACATTGGGGTGAATTCCATCCAACACTACACCCTCATTCCTCAATACGATTCCTCACATTCCCACAATCATTATCATGATCAACATCATAATCATCTTCATCATCACCAACATCCAGCTAACGATACGTCATTTCCGTTCGTAATATCTTTCAGGAACGTCACATCTTCCAGCAATGATGACGACTATGATGACGCCAACGAAAACAAACTGACGATCCGACTAATCGCCCCACTCGATCGCGAAATTACCGACACGTACAAAGCAGCGGTTCTGGCGCAAGATGGCGGAAATCCGGCTCGAACCGGAACATTGAATCTCGTGATAAAAGTTACCGACGTCAACGATAATGCTCCGAAGTTTGATTCGGATAATTACACAATCGATATATACGAGGACCTGCCAGTCGGTTCTGTGTTGTTGAGAGTATTCGCTGAAGATCGGGATGTTGGTTCGAACAGTCGGATCATTTACATACACTCACACATCAACAAAAATTCTGACAAAGAAATTTTCAGCGTAGACGAATCTGACGGCAAAATAACATTGAGGAAACCGCTGGATCGAGAGACACAAGCGATGCACAAGTTTTTCGTATGGGCAGAAGACGGCGGAACACCTAAGATGTCAGCGTTCGTGCAGGTCATCGCCAATGTGCTTGACGTCAACGACAACCGACCAACAATCGCCATCACTTCAACCACCGAGTCGGGTCTTTTTGAAGTTGTGGAGAACTCGGCGGAGGGCACGTTCGTCGCTTTTGTGAGCGTTCGTGATGGCGATGAAGGAAAAAATGGGATGGTGGCTTGCGAGTTGGCCGAAGTAGTCGACGCTTCATCAACTACTTTTAACAATGGGGCGTCAAATTTTGAAACGGAACAAAGTGAAGATATAAAAAACGGCATTGGTGAAAGTGATAACAATGAAACTGTAGAATTGAAACAGCTTCGCAGGAAAATATCTGCTACAAAAACTTCCAAAGAATTGTTATCATTCTTCAAATTAGACCGATACGACGAAAGCAGCTACAAGCTCGAAACAAATACCGACTCGTTGGACCGAGAATTCATAAATCGATACAACGTTACGATATCCTGTCGAGATTTTGGCAGTCCATCCCTCTCGTCTGCAGCCACCGTGCCGCTGCATGTGTTGGACGTCAACGACAACAGACCAGCATTCAAGAAGGATTTCATAGAAGTGCACGTTGAAGAGGGCAACGAAGTAGGCAAGTTGCTGGCTGTCTTGAATGCCCAAGATGACGATGATGAGGATGTACTCAAGTATTCGATTGAACCGCATCTAATCGAAGGCTCTAAAATTGTGACATCCGTCAGAGATGATGATAACGATGAGAATTTCAAAAGTGGCATTAATTTAATATCATCATCTCCATCATCATCAGTAGCAGCATCATCATCGTTGTCATCTCCACCCTTTCCACTATGGGGTAACTACGTAATGATTAATGAGGCGTCCGGACGTGTTTATGCAAATGTCAAATTTGACTTTGAAACTATGCAAAAGGTCATGGTTTTCAAGGTTACAGTGTCTGACAATCGACGCCCAACGTCCTCATCATCATCTTCCTCCTCATCTTCTTCTTCATCCATGCTTTTAACAATCCGATTGGTGAACATAAACGATGAACCACCGTCTTTTATAAGCCCCACACACCATCTCATTTTCCGCCTATCAGAGTCCGCTAAAATAGGTCAGGCTGTCGGTAGTGTCAAGGCCGTCGACAACGATGACGATGAAGGTGATGATGGCAGTTTTAGAAAGATAATTTATTCACTAGGACCGAATGAGTATCACTCATCATCATCATCGTCATTCTCGTCTTCGTCGTCATCATCGCTGCCCTTTGCAATCGATCAAGATAGTGGAGAAATAAGAACAATCGCTAATTTAGACAGGGAAAAGATGAAGAAATATGAGTTGACCGTTGTGGCATCCAATCCAGTGCCACCACAATCCTCTCCATCATCTCCATCATCATCTTCTTCATCGTCATCATCAAAGCCACCCATGAAACCAACATCATCAAAATCATCTTCAAAACCACCAGCAACATCGGCAGTGTCATTGAAATTGAGCGCCAAAATGAACGCAACTATCATCATAACGGACGTGAACGACAACAGACCGACCTTCACCTTCCCCAGCAAGCACAACAACAGGGTACACATCCCTCTCAACCACCCCATTGGGGCACAAGTCATTAAAGTCAGAGCGCATGACAATGATGATGATGATGACGATGACGATGGTGGTGGTAATGATATCATCTATGGCGATGATGTTGATGGTGTTGATGATGAAACTGATAGCAAAGATGGTGAGGTTGGAAACAGAAACGCCAAAATAAGTTACAGCATAATAAATATAGAGGCGCTGGGTGATGATGGTGATGGAAAACATGATGACAACCTCAAAGATAATGATGGAAATGAAACTGGCGACAATTATAATGACGGTAATGATGTCAAAAAATATTTCACTATCCACAAAAATACCGGGTCGGTTCGAACAAACGCCAAACTGACTCAACCGAAGAAGTACCGAATTCGAATTTTAGCCGAGGATGGCGGTAAACCGATTCTCTCATCGATCACCGATCTCTTTGTAATCGTTAACACATCCTTAACCTTGCGCGACGAAGCGCTGATCAGCAAAGCAGTAGATTTCAGTGAGAATGAAGACGAGACCGATTTTTTCGGAAGTGTTAAATGGTTCGGTATGGACCGAAAATATTTCATACCGACGATTTTAGCCGTCTCTTGCGGATCTATTGTGGTGTTAGTGATAGCTTTAGTGCTTGTCGGCGTGATTGCCTGTCGCAGATCTAAGAATAAAAAAGCGAAGCAAGCATTGAACAGCGGTTTAAATAACAGTGACTCGTACATAAGAAACGAACTGGCGATATGTGACGATACAGAAGCAGAATGGAAACGTACCAGTTTACCGAGTATCGGTTCGAGACGATCCGAATGTTCGATGCGCTGTGTGGAGAGGAGGATGAACATGGAAGGGAATTTACTCGGAGGCAGTGCTGGAGTGGTTAAGGAATGCTCCTGTGGCGGAAGTACTGAGCTCGATGGCGGAACCGATCAAATACCGGACGTCGAATACCGAAATTTAAAAGTGAATCCATAAATATTTCTTAATTGCGTTCTGTTTGTTATATATTTTCGATAATATCAACGCTCATTTACTTAATTTTACTCATAATTACTTAATTTTACTTTTAAACCATCCATTCAGTAGTATTTCAATCGCACGCGAATCTGTTCATTAAATAATTGAATGATTCAAGAAAGAATGTTTATCTTTCAATCTCTCATCTGCCATGTCGTCAGGTCAAATCATGCTGCCAAGTGAACGCAATCTCCAAATCGAATTTAACACCTCATCATCATCATCTTCCTCATCATCATCACCACAACTACAACGACTATCATCAGCACCACCAACTGCAGCATCATCATCAACACCTTCTTCACCCTCCCCATCAACAACTTCGTCATCATCGCGTCAATTGTAACCATGGTAACGTCGGCCGGCGCAGGAAAAAGACGAGAAGGGTGAGTTTGTAACTTTTCATCATAAACTTCGTCTTCTTTTTCTACTTCTTCTTCATCTCTATCATTACCATCTCCATCATAAACTTCTTCTTCATCATCTCTATCATTATCATCTTAATCATAATCTTTTTCTTCTTCATCATCTCTATCATTATCATCTTCATCATCAACTTCGTCTTCTTCTTCTTCATCTCTATCATTACCACCTCCATCATAAACTTCTTCTTCTTCATCATCTCTATCAATACCATCTCCATCATAAACTTCTTCTTCATCATCTCTATCAATACCATCTCCATCATAAACTTCTTCTTTATCATCTCTATCATTACCATTTCTATCACAACCTTTTTCTTCTTCTTCTTCTTCGTCTTCTTCTTCACCTCCATCCTCAACTTCATCGCCATGATGTTTATTTTGACGTCACTCAAAAAACACTTAGGCTCAGTCGTTGGAGCATGCTAAAACGCCAACCACATAATTTATGACCATTTCCATAATTAACATCTACCATATTAAAACAACAGCCATTATTATTATTACTACTACTACTACAATCATTATTATTACCATCGTTTTTGCTACTGCTACTACATCTGCTGCTACTACTGCTGCTGCTTTTGCTGCCACTACTTCTGCTGCTACTACTGCTGCAACTATTGCGGCTTCTAAAAGTATTTACACTATAATTAATACGATTACGATCGCTATCGTCTTTACTACTATTTTAATTCTCTACATATTTTGAATTAAAACTAGCAAAGATAGCTCAGTTGATATTGTGCTAATTAAAGAAGAATTCTGTCAACGTTTTGAAATTCATGCTTACACGAATGCTGCAAACGACGACATGTTAATTTAACAAACAAACACTTTTTTACATCTGAAAGGAATTATTTTTTTTTACTTCTGCACTCTACTCTCCGTACATTTGAAGTCAAGGCCGTGTTTTAACTGTTTGAAGTTCTTAAAAAGTTACCGTATCAAGATGATGACGATGACGACGACGATGATGGTGGTGGTGGTGGTGGTGGTGGTGGTGGTAGCGATGATGATAGTGATGATGATGATGATAATAATGAAGGTGATGATGATTAAAGCAGGGAATAGGAGCTTGCCGAGCCACCATTATTGCACGTGAAATATTCTGTTTAGAATCAAAACAAAACCCACCTCACACGCGTTGAATCATATACAAACACACACGTACACACACGTACACACACATACATACTCACACGCACACACACGCATATACACCCACACGTACACACACATATACCCACACGTACACGCACACACATACCCACACGTACACACACATACATACTCACACGTACACACACATACACTTTCATGCATTCATGTTTGAAATATTTGCATACACTTTATACTTTTTACATACTTCCCATTTTATTTGTACATTTAAAAGTTCAAAACAAACAAATACATAAAAATGAATTTTTATACACACGCACACGCACGCACACACACGCACACACGTACACACACACCCACACACACACACACGCGTTTCATTTTATTACTGAATCTTCATGTGTTTATCTACACTCGTGCAATACTCACTCACACAAACCATCATAATAGCAGACAGATTTTTAGACACTCCTGTTGACACGCAGACAGAAATCTAGACACACATACAAACATCTAGACAAACGCACTGACAGCATACGAACATCTAGACAAACACACAGGCAGGCAGACAGACAAACAGGCACACAGGCAGACAGACAGGCAGACAGAGAGACCTCCTCTACACAGACTAGCACATACAATTACATCATTTTTGTATCATCATCATTTTCACGCATCCATTTATATGTATCAATACTAAATGGCTAGACAATTTAGGGTAGAAACATCTTTCTCGATATTAATGTTTTTGAAAAAAATCATTATGGTTTTTTGCTAATACATTTTTTTACTCTGCTACTATTACTTCTACTATTACTACTACTACTACTACTACTACTACTACTACTACTACTACTATTTAAACATATTTTATACAAATCAGCAATACATATATAATGACATATTAATGACATTGTTATAGTTGACAGTGGCATAATTCATTCCTTTCTTCATTCCTTCAATCAATCATTCATTCATTCGTTCGTTCGTTCATTCGTTTTTCCATTTATTCATCCAATCATTCATTTGTCCGTCCGTCAATTTCAACCCTCCATCCATCATCTAAGAAATCTATCAAAAACTTATTTCTCGCGGCAAAACAGGCATCGGCATACATTCGTGCTGTAAATCATAAAGTCAATCTAATGCTGATCTCGATGGATAAATTCATTTTCGCGAATACCTTTCTAATTTTTCATCATCATCTTCATCATCGTCGCCATCATCCATACCATCTTCCACATCTCTTCCTACTCCTCATCATCATCATTATCATCATCACCAACACTATCATCATCAAAAGCATCACCCTCATCATCACCATCATCATCTTACCATCATCATCATCATCTTTTCCTTCCCATTTTGTATCTATTCCTAATTTGTTTCCATATTTTTGTACACGCACACATCGCTATATCATATCCTCCGTGCACTTTCATCTTGCATCTCAACTCTCTTGTTTTTTTTGTTCTATTTTTCTCCAAAGTTATTTATTACAGTCGTCATCATTGTAAACATCGTCGTCGTCATCATCGTCGTCGTCATCATCATCATTGTTCTGCTTGTTATATTTAGTTCATCTTTTACGAGTTTTGTCAATTAAGTCACTCCAAAGTGTAATTAAAGTTTTCAACTCAATGGCAACACACGGCACCACACAATACTTAGTGAATGAATGAATGAATGAATGAATGAATGAGTGAATGAATGAGTGAATGGAGGAGTGAATGAGTGAATGGATGAATAAATGAATAACCATCATTAGGTGGATTAAGTAAATGGAATTATTAATTGGAAAATTAATTATCAAATTGATAGGTGATAGATTGATGGATGGATGAAATGATGGATAAATAGATGGATGGATGGATGAAATGATGGATATATAGATGGATGGATGGATGGATGAAATGATGGATATATAGATGGATGGATCGATCGATCAAATGATGGATAGAAAGATAGATGGATCGATCAAATGGTGGATAGATGGATGAAAAATTAAAAAGTCAAACGAATCAACAAATTAAAATACTGACATGTCTGAATTTTAATGGACGCTTTAATATCCAGCACTTCAGAAATGAAGGAACATACCGTACCCATAAAAAGTGGAATAAATGATGAATCGAAATAAAAATGGATGAATGAAGAAATGATTGAATGGGTAAATTAATAAATGAATGAATGAATCAGTAAATGGATAAACAAAAAAAAACGAATTAATGAATGAACGAAGAATCGAAGGTACAATGAACAAACAATCAAACAAAACGAACGAACTAATAAATAAATAAATGAACGAACAAACGAACAAACGAATAAATGAAAAAATGAATGAATAAACAAACGAACGAACGTATGAACGAATGATTAATTGTAAACAACGTAGATCATATTTCACTGCACTAGATCGTGCTATTGATCAACAAAATGAATATAATCGATCGAGAGAAACATTGGAAAAATCATCCTGGTAAGAATTAAGTTGTATTGGAGTGAGTGATTGAATGAATTTATGAAGAATTCCTTCAAATAAAAACTACAAACACACACAGACAGACACACACATACGTACACACACACACACACACACACACACACGCACGTACGCACAAATATGCGCTACAACAGCACGTAAAGTGTGTCAGATATATTATTACTGTCCAGTATAAAAAATCATAATTGAATAATAATAATAATAATTATTATTATTATTATTATTATTACTATAATAATAATAATAATAACCAAAACAAAAAATGTTGATGTATGCTTTGCTGATATTTTTTTTTATTTTGGCTAATGAAACATCATACACTTTGTTGTTAGATCATACAGGAAATAATGAAAACAATAATAATAATAATAGCAATAATAATAACAATAATGACAACAATAATAATTATAACAATAATAGTGATAATAACTTTAAGAACAAGATTAAAGCCATCATTCTTTTTCGTGCCTATCCTTTCTGGACATTGGCGACCATCGACCTCAACAAAACCCGATCTTTATCACTTTGTAAGAGTTGAAATATAGTGATATTCAACAAGTGGCACAAGGACTTCACGAATGTTTTTCGTTGTTGTCCCGATCTCATTTCCCCTGCAATCTTTCCAGTAGTTGTTAGATTTTCCATTCTTTCCTTCCGCATGATGTGACCAAAAAATTTTAACTGCCCCCGTCGGATCATCTGTAGCGATTTCCTCTTTTCATAACCAGACTGTTTCAATACGTTCTCATTTGAAGTATAAGAGGCCCAACAGCAAGCAATGGCAACCTACTTCTGTCGGCAACTTTTGCCAAGAGAACCATCGAAACCATCGGCAAGAATTAAGTACGTTACACTATTAAAGAAATGCGTCGATTCGAGCGATACATATCTCAAAATTTGTAAATGTGAAAAAATTTAGTATTTGTATTATTTTTTTGAAAAAAAAAATATGTTGGGAAGAGAGAGAGAGAGAGAGGGAGAAAGAGAGGGAGAGTGAGAAGAAAAAAAAGTCTGAGATATAGAGAAAGACAGAAAGAGTGATAGAAAGAGACAAAATTTGTCGGTGTAGAATGAGAAAAAATAAATACCTATATAGATTGTAGAAATGGTAAATTTTTTTATAAAAATTTCATAAAATTAATTAAACGTTTTATGAATTTGAGTTGACGAAAAGTAAATACATTAAAAATTATTTAAATAACGAAATTAACGCAAAAATTTCAAAATAAAAATGTCACTAAAAGAGGTTCGCATGTTCATTCCTTTCGCTTCAACCCGGTTTTAATTAGATGCCAATGAGAAAAAAGACAAAAATGTTTATTTTTTGATTTAAAAAATTGTATTCAGCATTTGAGTAAGAAGAAATATTGAATGTTCGTCAGATGAGACATTCGTTTTTTGTGCTTCCATTCTATCATTCCCTACCTACAGAGTCTTCATCGTAATTATCTTTGTGGCATTTAAGTGGTGATATCATCGTTTTAATACTGACTATAATTTCATAATTAGTCATATTATTATTTATAATAATATTTATAATTTTTTAAACCCACCAGCAGGGAAACACCTCTTACTCCGACAACGAAACTTCACTGAAAACGAACCACCACAACAACCCCAACAATAAAAGCAACAACAAATTGATCTTCAACACCCAACAGCACAGACAACAACAAGCCCACCATGAATATTCAGAAAGCGAAATGTCCGGTTCCTGCTGTTGCGATAGCGGCATGGATAGTGACCAACACCCTCCAGCTAGCCAATCGTCGTAGTCGTACATTTCTATTGGCTGGCCATCAACTCATACTCAAATTTGATTGGTCGGTGAACGTTTTAACCGAACGTAACTGGCTGACAGTTAATTGATTCACAGAAGTGGTGAATATTGATTGCCTTGCCTGCTGTAACAGTTTCTGCTCTTGTCAGATTCCGATTTTTTGAAGAAAATTGTTTAAAATGTGGCCGTAGTACTTACATTTCTGCATTTCATTTTTTTGGGGTTGCTAGTTAATTATAAAACATTTAGTTGTAGCTAAGTATTTATACTTTATAAAAAAAGAAAAAAAAGAGATGGAGAAAGAGAGAAGAAAGAGAAGAAAGAGAGAGAGAAAGAGAGAGAGAAAGAGAGAGAGAGAGAAGACTTATTAAGCCAACAAAAACTATGCAGCTCACGAACATTACATAACAGAACCGTCTTTTTATGTTTTTTAATATTTATGTTTTTTAATACAAAGCTATTCTAACAATTTTCGGATATAAATTGTTATATACCATACACACACAACAGCAAACATGTTTGTATACAAATGACATTTATAACAATTATATTAATACATACATAAATGCATATAAAAATCAATCTAAAACGTATATATGATGTATTTCGTATTTTAATTAATTAAACCACATTTCACAGTTTTATGATATTAATTGCGTTATTTACACACACACACACACACACACACACACACACACACACACACACACACATATATATATATATATATATATATATATATATATATATATATATATAATGTATTTACTTATTTAAGCACTTATTATGTGAATTTATAATTAAAGCCTTTTCTGTGCGCTTCAAATTTTCTTATATATATATATATATATATATATATATATATATATATATGTCCTATTGGATTGCATGGCTATGGTGTTTATTGGTCTTCCATTGTTCATCGACTCAATTGCAGTGCTGTTAATGATTTAACTTATAAGAAGTGTTAATTCTATGAATATTTTCATGTGTGTGTGTGTGTGTGTGTGTGTGTGTGTGCGTACGTGTGTGTGTGTACGTGTGTGCGTGTGAATCAATGATAATGTACTTTCTTTATACTTTCTACCTCAACTTTTATCATTAAATAGGAACGTCTATGCTCTATGCTGTCAATCCGGCAAGTTTAACATAGGCAGATTGATAAATTATTCCTATTATTTTTTTATTTGGTGTTATTATAATTATTATTGTTGTTGTTATGAAATACTGAAAAAAAAACAAAATATAATTCAACATACTCATTCATAATTAGTTTATTTATTTCTGAAAATATCCATCATCATTTTAATGTTTCTGACAGAAAATTAAAAAAAAATAACAGACGCACAATACAAACACACGCGCACACACACACACAAACACACACATACAAGCACACGCACGCACACACAAACAAAAAAGACGCACATACAAACACACACACACACACACACGCACATACAAACACACGGATGTACGTGTATTAAAAAACCGTTTGAATGTGAAAAAAATTGTATTAAATAAGAGAGCAAGGGCAAACACATAATCGAAAATATATAAATAAATACTACAAAGAACAATAAACAAAATGGATGACGAAAAGCGGGAAGAATAAAACTAAATTAGAAAAATCGTCGCAAAATACAAATAAAATTTTTACATTTTTTTACCATTTTTGACCTTAATGAATACTTTCATCATTACTAATAAGAATTAATTATACCAAACAATATTTACCGTATGTATAATAGTCAGAATGATATAAGATATGAATTTATATACAAATATATATATGTATAAATATAAAAAATGGAATATTCTATAAAAAAGGTTATATATATATATATAATACAAATAAAAAAATATTGTTAAAAAAAAATGCTAATTGCAGTATATATACAGTTATTAAGAAATATCACCGCATTTTCCGCACTGTTGAGTTTGAAAATGGGATGGACTTCCCAATAACTGTATATACGACTGTCTGAACCCAAATATATATATATATATATATATATATATATATATATATACATACTATAAAAATAATAGATTGGTTTATTGATTTAATGGTTGGTTGACTGATTGGTTGGTTGGTTGGTTGATTGATTGGTTGAAGAGAGGACGAGTATAAATAAATAAATACTTTCTAAAATGGATGGCAATGTTATAATTATTTTATCATTACTATCAATGTCATCATTATCCTATATCACGTATCATTTTCAAATAAGATGAAAAAAAGTAAGTAAGAAGATGAGTTTACAATGGGCAGAAAATAAAATATCATTCGTTAAAATACAATTCGTAGCCTATACCAATCGGTCGTCATCGTCATCATATTCGTCATCATCATCATCATTATTGCAACCAACATCACCGTTATCATTTTCATCGTCATCATTATCTCGATCATCATCGTCGTCGTCGTCATGTTTGTATATTTTTAAATAATGACACATCAAATGAACCAATCACATTCAATTATTGTCATGCATATTGACTATTTATTTATTCATTCATTCCTTAAATATTTCTTTTGATTATTTTCTTTTTAAATTAACATAATCTTATTAATTTATTCACAAGGTCAACCTTTTGAATTAACATAATATTATTAATTTATTCAAAAATTATCATTTAGCATGAGCATCTCTGTGTGGATGGCTGGCCGACTTGCTGCCTGTTAAGCCTCTTGAGTGACGCGTTGCCGTACTGAATTCCCGACCCCAGCCTCTCAGGGTCCATCTCACCAGTTTCGATTTTTGTCAGAAGACTTCGAGCGCATTTCAGAAATGTCTCTTCGACATTTTCACTCGTCATGGCTGATGTCTCCAAGAACATCAGATCTGAGGGGGTGATGGTGGTTTTTGAGTTTCAGTTTTGAAGAATTAGTGCTAATAAGAAATCAAATAAAAAAAATTTTTTTTAAGTAGAGAAAAAATTTAGAAAAATAACAACTCATCAGACTTTTAACACACAGCCATCTATACATTCATCTGGATTCGATGCTAAAGACACTGTAAATTACAGAATCATATACATTCTAAAAAGCGTAAATATTTTCTGAAAAAAAAAATATACTGACCATTTTCTTGAGCAAATCTGGAAGCCTCAAGGAAAGTTACCTCCCTCTCGGCTTCGAGATCTTTCTTGTTGCCAACCAGGATGATGACAATGTTCGGACTGGCCAGGGTTCGGGCGTCACTCAACCAGTTGACCAGAGAGTTGAAGGTCTCCCGGCTGATTTTGTGGAATTAAAATTAAAAATAATCATTGTGTTTAACTAAAACTGTGTGTTTTATAAAAAATTATTTTTAATATGTGAAATAAAATAGTTTAAAAATTGATGAAAGAATTTATAAAATATTTGAAAATAAATCAAAAAAGTTACGCAGTTTCTCAGAACCTGGATATATCGTAAACAAGCAACGCGCCAGCCGCACCTCTGTAGTAACTTCTCGTCACAGATCTTAGAGGATAAATATTTATGATGAAAATTTTATTTTATCAATCACTTATTTCAAAGTGATCACATTACTAGTTACAGACGTTACACTTTAATTCTATTAAAATTTAGATGAATTAAACCGAAAAAATTGCTGAAATAGTTACCTGAACCTCTCCTGCCCGGCTGTGTCCCATATTTGCAGCTTCACAAACTTGCCTCCAACACTGACCACCTTGCTGCCAAACTCAACCCCAATGGTGTGACTAGAATCTTGGCGGACTGCCAACAAATTTTTAAAAAACTTTTTTTTAAAGATTTTGAGTGTAATAAAATATTTTGAATTAGAAAAGATTTTTAAAAAATATTGTTTTCACTTGTGAAAAGCTACCAAAGGTTGGTTAACCAACACTCACATATTTTAATTTAAAAGTTTAATTTTTAAGCTATTTCAGAAAATTAATAAGTATTGTGAAGTAAATATTTCTGTGAAATAGAAAATAAGTTTAAGTTTGAAATGATGAAATAAATTTAGTTAAGGCTAGTTGGTGTCAGGGTTTAGAGAAAATTAGTTAAATTATTAAATTTTAAAAAAGTTTCCTTACATTTGTTTTCAATAAATTGATGGAGTAAGCACGATTTTCCAGTACCAGCACTTCCAATCACGAGGAATTTAAACAAGTAGTCTGAAAATATTTAAATTACCAATGAATGATCAATTCATATTATTTTATTTATTGATAAATAAATTAAATTGAATATATAAATAAATAATTGACAAAAAAATAAATTAACAGAATCCTTTTATTACCGTAAGTTTCAGTCATTTTAAACAATAAAATAATTCAGATAAAAAAGAATTTAATAAAAAACTCGCGACTTTACGATGATAACTGAAGGAAAAACAAAAACTGATTTCATTTATAGAGCGTTGTTATTGTTTTGCATCAAATGAGTTTAGCATCATGTGATAACATCACGTTTCATATTTTCAGTGGCTAAAGGTACTTCCAAAGGTCTCATCATAAAACGCATGAGAATTATTCATGACATATATAGAGAATATAACATTATAGCATATTCTATATATACGATTTAAAATAAATATATACACCATATATATATATAAATGTTATATTCTATATATATGATATGCCTATTTTTTTAATATATAATTTTATATTAACTTGTATAGTAACAAATTTGTTATTTGGTTAGTTCAACGCGTTTTAAATTATCAATTAAATGTTAATTTCTGGTAAAAAATCACCTTCAGGCATTGAATTTTTATTTTAAAACATTAAAAAAAATGTTTTATCTCTATTTCTTAAAATGGATGAACATTATTTTGCAATGTTTTTCTTTCTTTTAACTTGTCGTCTCTTAGTTTTATTCTCAATGATCTGCTGGGCCAACTTTTTCATATCATTTCTAGTCATCACGTCACCATCTTCTTCATCATTGTTACTCACAAGATCTGCCGAACAAATGAAACAAACATTAAATTTCTCATAAGATACAAATATTTATAAATAAATTAAATGTGAAGAAATCTGTCTGCATGCCATCATCGTTGTTATCCCCGTCTGGCATCTTAATGATGCTTTCATCAAAAGATCTATGCGATCTGTCTCCGGCTGATTTTATTATCTGGAAAATTTGAACATAAAAATTTTTAATTAAAAAGTTAATATGTGAACTAATTAGTTAACTAAGTTTTCCTAGTAACCTTCCTATCGTCAAAAATGACGTCATCAAAATCTGACGTCATTATCTGGAGGATTTTTTTCTCTTTCTCGCAAAGGTGTCTTAGTTTGGCGTCGCATTCATTCAATTTCTTCACGATGTCCAGTCTTATCTCATTTCCCCGTCCGCTGTCAACTGTAGCATCTGCAGTATTGCTCGATTCCGGTGGCTTGTGTGAAATGTCACAATCATTCTTATAAAGAACTTTCTCGATAATGTTCCAAATTGAATTTTGTTTTACAATGGTAATTTCAAAAATAGGAAATTACATTTGTAAAATGTAGCCAAAATAGGGACTAACAATTTGAAAAGTCTTCAACTTATCGTGCAAATGTTCGACGCCGGTCTTCAGCTGCGTTAGGAGGTTACTACTCCTCTCCAACTTCATCAATATCTCTCTTTTCTTGGCTTCATCATCTTCATCGTTCTTATCACTGAGATTGGCGTCGTTATTTGGAGCGAGAAAGTTTTCATTTCTGAAGTGATAATTTGTGGTTCGATTTAACTTTGATCAATAAGTTTTTTGATTGTTGGGTTAATCATTTCAAAGTTTCATGCAAAAGAAATCACTTCAATGCACTTCGTTTGTCGACTTTTTCGTCATTATTTTCATCGTCCTCACGAAGCGAGGAGATAGTTTTTTTGTATTCCAGCTGCTGAAACTCCTGCTGCTTCTTCAACTTCTCATTCGTTAACATTTCAAGTATGGCGTCATTTTTCTCCTTTAGTTCGTTCAGCTGCTCGCTTCGATATTGCTGGGTTTTGAATCTTCTAACTAGCTCCTGATTTTTATCGTAACCAAAAATTATTCAATAAAAACTTTAAACGAAACAAAATCAAATTATTCTGCAATAAATAAAAAAGATGTTAATCAACAAACTCTTAAAATAGTTGTAGATAAGGTTTAAAATTATAATTAAAAAGTGATAGTTATCGAGCGAAGATGGCAACAGTTGGACTTTAAGAAACCTTGGTGTCTGAGATGCCAGTGGCCTTCTTAATAATGGAGAAGGCCTCCTCGTACGATTTGATCTTCTCGTTATTCTCCTCAACCTCGGCCATCGTTGCCTGATTCGAGTTCGGAGATTTCACCGAACTTGAGGTGCCGCGATTTTTCTGAAACCAAATCACCAAGTTAGAGCGTGAAATATCAGTTTTTGTGACAGTTACATTGCTTTTAACATTACTAAGTTATTAAGAGTTAAAATATTTGGCTAGATTAAAATGAACAAAGCAGTCGAATACTATACAAACAATTCTCTGTTGGACAGCCTGCCCATGCATTTTATTCTCATCAATATCTCTTTTCACTCTCGCCAATTCACTATCTCTCGATTTTTTCGCACTTAAAAATATTTTTTCCTTTTTCTCGTATTCATTCTTCGCGGCTTCCAGCGTCGCTTTTGCGTCTTTTTCCAGAGTTTTCAGCTGTTTCAGTTGGCCCTGAAGTCTAAAAAATATCAACAAAACATAATGACAAACTTTCGATATTAGAGGTGAGCCATTTTTGTGGCTTGACAAAATATGATCACAATAAATAAATATAACAGAAGGTAAGAAATTCTAAACATATTAGGGAAAAAATGAACCATTGTATACCACCGAACCATTGATACGAACAGATACAAACCGCTTTATATCAGCTTCAACTTCATCCAAGATTGACGGAAGAGCTTGTTGTTCATCTTCCAGGTTAGATCTGATGAGGTGGTAGGTGTGTTGGATCTGCTCTGCTTCACGGCACTTCATTCGCGTCTTGTCCAGTTGGTTCTCCAATTCCAAATGTTTCTGATTGATTCATTGGTGTTTATGTGAAAATAATTTCATACAATCTTTCATAAAACGTATGCTTCACACATTGTTACTATTAGATAGAAATAAATGTATTACACACAGAGATGAATATTGAAAATAGAGAAAAATCAACATGAACCGGATTTATAAAGTTAGTGCCGTTGTTAACGACCATGTTGCTATCGCTGATGAGATCAGGAAGATTGCTGGTAATGAGCTCTGACGATGAGTTGCTATCAGTGAGGACATCATTTTGTTTCTGCAAATTCTGCAACTCACTCTCCTTATTCTTCCTTTCGTATCTCAAGATGTTCAGCGACTTGATGAGGTCACACGTCTTCTCGTCCAGCGTTTCAATGGCCACCTAATTTATAATTTACACGCCAATGATTACAACATGTAATGCTGTTTGTACTTTATTGCCATTCGTTAAATAATTTTTGCTCTCATACAGTTATAATTAACAAATTATTATAACTTAAATATTATTTATAATTTTGTTGATTATTTTTGTCGTACGGTGGCAGAGTGTTTAGTGAGGAACTTCATATCTGTTGGCAGTCTCTGTAGACTTTTTCCTATCATGTCACCATCGGCCTGGAGAGTTAATTAATTAATTAATTAAAATATTCCTGTATTTAAAGAATAATGTGAAAATCATGGAAATGGTATTTAAATAGCGAAAATGTTTATAACGCTGATCAGTGTAATAATGTTCTTAACTGAATTTTTCGCGATTTCCTTTCGTTTGATTTTATTTTCCCGCCTCAGGGTCAAAATGTTCTCCCTGTTCTCTTTTATCATCTGCTCCGTGTTCTCGTGGTAGGCTTTTTTGTCGTCCTCTTTCAGAGAAATTTGTTTTTTCAGTCAATCAAACAATCGGTCAGTTGGTCAATCAACTACTAATCATAAATAAACATTACAATCACACACACACACACAAACACACACACACATACCTAACAATGATATCTTCAATTTAATCTCTTCAATCTGGGCTTGAATATTTCTAAAACCTGATTTGAGAGGCATTTTAACTTTTAATAAACAAACACAAGACAAAAACACAAACGATGATTGAATGAGAGAACGATTAAATGGATGAATGAAAATAATACTGCAAGATACAAGCTGCAGTGCTATGTTGAGAGAGCACTTGTTCTCGTTGCTCGTAGCAACACTAGTTAAAAATGATTAAAAGTAAACTCTGTTGAAATAAACCACTGTCTCTTTGGAAACGCCTGATATAAACAAGCCATGAAGGCAGGACACCTGCACAAAATGTAGAGCCAACAACTAGAAATGAATTCAAAGAAGCGAAACACGAAACCGGCTAGAATCGCAACAACAGTAGCGACACCAACCACGGCAACCTCAAACGCAACGGCATCAAAAAATGAAGATGGAAAGAAACTTCCACGTCGTCAATCGAAACAGCTGATGAAGATGCAGACAAAACAGAGTCTATTGAAGCAAGCGGAGATTGATAAATTAAATTTGGATTTGGAGCAAAAGCAAGATGTTTCAGCTGATAATGACGTCAACAAGAAAATTGGAAGAAATATTGTAGCGGAAGATTTTCGTTACAATCTGCCAAAAATTCCAACGCTGGTTGATCTGTGTCTCAGTCACATGATTGAAGAATTTATAAGTGAGAATATTTATAATTTAATTTATTGTTTGATTATTGGCACGTATCATACATTCTATCGAAGCAATCATTGCAGAAAATAGTCGGTGCACACACAATTACGCTCACAATACGCACAAATAAAATCATTATTTTGATCGTCATAAGACACACAGAGCACAACGCAACCCATATTTTGACCAATTTTTTTTATGAAAAATGTTATTTGGTAATTTTAATTGAAAGGTTTTGAAAAACAACTTAGTGTTTAATAAATTTTTATTCAATAATTTTCGCCAAGTTCACAGAAACACTTTCAAGAAAGTTCCTGAGAAGTTCAGAAAGAAGATAACCAGCCAGCTGTCGGTTGATGTTCCGTTGTGGGTGACGACGGATGTGGTGAAAGATGATGAGTACTGGAAGAGGAAGTGTCGAGCAAGATGGAGGACCAGTGATTCGAAGGAGCACAGAAACAGTTGGAAGGCAACCTACATGGAGATGAACATGCAGGAGACACTGGAACAATTTGTTCCTTCTGTATCTGACCTCAACGATCTTATCGAGTTAATTAATATTTCGTCAAAATTTATCAGAAAATTAAATGTGCAACAGTTATTACCGAAACCGAGCAAACAAAGTGATGTTGAAGCAGCTGAACAAACATCAATCCCTGATTTAGAACTGAACGTTAATGACAACGACCACGAATCGATAGCATCACAAATTATGACAGCCATGCAAAGTAGACATAAGAAAATGATGAAAGATGATAGCGATGAAGACTACGAAAGGCTGGATTTTACAGAAATTCTACCAAAACTGAAACGCCTGGAAAGCATAAGCCTGCAGTACCTCGTCAGAAACTGTGGAATGAATTTTAAATGGGGCCACTTCAAAATGTCCGAAAAAGACTGCACATCTCTGGCAAAAAGTCTCTATTTCTGTAAATCTCTTATGTGAGCAAATAAATTTATTGCTTCTTGAGTGTTTTAATGAAAATTTTTGTCAGCATCTAACGTAAATTATAATATTTTGAAAGGGACATTTCGATTGTAAAGAGCAGCATAGATGACGCTCAGACTGAAATATTATGTTCGCAGTTGAAGGACCACCCGAACTTATCTACACTCAATCTCTCGCACAACAGCATCTCCGACAAGGGAATGTCCACCATATCAACATCACTACTCAACAAACACAGCTTCGTCAGAGTGCAATCCATTGACCTCACAAACAACAGCATCAAATATGCTGGAGTGAAGGTGCTAGCTAAGGAACTGGAAACGAATGACAAGCTATTGAAGCTGCAATTGAGGATGAACAAGATAGGCGATGAGGGTGGTTCACTTATTTTAATTGCCATGGCTAGAAATAAAACATTGAATTTTCTCGGCCTTGGAAGCTGCGATCTCGGCGACATGTCTGCAGAAGCAATCTGCTACATCTTGAAAAACAACAGAACCCTACAATACTTAGACATATCATGCAACGTGTTTGGAACGGTGAGGCTATTCATTTATTATTTCAAGTATTAATAAAATGTTTCGAAATGGCATGCAACCACATACCATATTTATATTATACACTATGCCGCTAACTTGATCATGTATATCAGCAGAACTTTTCACTGACATTTCACATGCAGGCACATGTATTAAAATTAATAAACGCATTATTCGAATTGAAGGATAACGGCGAGGCCATTCGGCAAGCAGTGGAAGGCAACGATACGCTGCTGAACGTTGACGTGAGGGAGACCGAAGTAACAAAGGAAGCTGAATACTTCATCGCTATGAAACACCAACTCAATCAGGAAAGAAATGGAAACGTAGCATCCGACTCTCATTTTTGATAACCGATTTTCATTTTATTTCTTTAGTAATGCAGATCAAAAACACATTTTTAGTTTAATAGATTCATTTTATTCAACAACTTTTATGAAATTGTCAAACAAAACTGAACTGACAATCATTGTAAACAAAATGCATCTATCAGGTATTTTTTATTGAAAAGTTTAAGCGAGGAACTCGTATGGGATTGGCTCCAGTATGATGGGCTTGTTATATTTTGTTGATACAAAATGACCTGGTCTTGGCTGTTCGGGCTGCATGTTCAAAAGAATAACAGAAAATTAGGAATTCAATGCAGTTATAAAATTGAAAGTAGCAATTCAAAATCTTTTAAGCAATAAACATAATAAAATGTTGAAATTAATAATTGTCACACCACACCAATGACTAAATTAATAAGATAAATGAAGCAAGCAGCAGACCTGTCTCTTGCAGAAGACAACAGTCTTGCTCTCCTTGGCCTCTCTCTTCTTCCTCTCATTCTCAGCTACCCTCTTGAGAAACTCCTGCCTGCAAGCTGAATGTTTGATGTGCTCCACTCTGATGTTTACTCTCTTAGGAAGGATTCTGCCCCTGGGTGTGATGTGGTGTGGTGGTTTCAAGGATCAATGTTAGATTTCAAACATATATAATTTTTGTTCGTTTACAGTTATGTACAAATTTAAACTACTAATATATACAAATGAATAAGGAGTATCTATATGAAACATGTTATATAAATCCAAAATCTCAAGTTATATATATCCACATGAGAAACATCGGAAAAAGAATATGGAGATGAATAGGTGGATCAAGTGTCGTGGAAGACTAACTTGACTCTCTTGTTGACAATGACACCAACAGCATGTGGGGTGACATTGTACACCACACCTGTCCTTCCATGGTACGATTTGTGAGGCATACCCTTCTGAACTGCACCATTACCCTGTGTCAAGATATAGCAGACACCACTCAGCAATTTATTGACATTGCATCTAATCATAACAAGTGAAATAGACTATCAGTTATAAAAGGAAATGAAATAAAAAGCTAAAACCACATACCTTGATATCTACCATGTCACCTCTTTTGTATGTCTTGAGGTATGTAGAGATGGGTATGACTCCCCTCTTCCTGAACTTGCGAGAGAACAAGTGTCTCGTTCCTCTTCTATAACCTCCGGAGTTTGTCATCTTCTATGATGTTTCTTAAATCATCAGTTATAAATTAGGATTAGTGAAAATACAAAATTGCATCTATTTACATTTATCATATCAACTTTTTTAGATGCTCATTGGAAAAAATCAAGGTACTGAAAATGAGCTAATGTCTCCATGTGATGAAACACGGTCATTTAAATGAAATGCCATGTGATTAAACTGGAGTGTGTACAATATAACCCCCTGTGATTATATAGAGCCATCATTACACTAATTTCTTAGTGCTCGGCCTAATGCCTAGAAGGTTAAAATAATTTTTTGGTTTATAATAACATTAACCACGATAAATAAAAAAAGTCACGACATCAGAAAGGAATGTTATTGTTAGCCAAAAACAAAGATGATTAGACAGCCAAATGATAGCAAAACACTCTCACCTTGCTGATCTAAAAATCTAAATAATTAAACTCAAAAATGAGCTAATGTCTCCATGTGATGAAACACGGTCATTTAATGAAATGCCATGTGATTAAACTGGAGTGTGTACAATATAACCTCCTGTGATTATATAGAGCCATCATTACACTAATTACTTAGTGCTAGGCCTAATGCCTAGAAGGTTAAAATAATTTTTTGGTTTACAATAACATCAACTAAATTTGGTAACATTAAAATAATAAAATGGCATGACATCAGTAAGAAATGTTATCATTAGCCAAAAGAAAGATGTTTAGACAGCCAAATGACAGTAAAACACTCTCACCTTGCTGACCTAAACATCAAATTATTTGGAATCAAATGACACGCATAAGTTTGTCATCACATGTCAGGACGTTTTAGTGTTAGAGATGCTTCTCATATAAATTAGAAAAAAACATTCAAGACAAAATACACTGAATTTATCTAATACGTTAACAACAAAGCCATCAAAATTAGATTTTAATTACAATTTTGAAAGCGGGATCGTTGAATGAGGCGATCCTGATCTGATTTGGATCAAATCCGACGATGTGAGAAATGCCGGAACGCCCAATGTTATTTGTTTAAACATTTTTATTAAAAAAAAAAAATTATATCAAAGATTTTTCAAACAAACACACGCATTAAAATATAAATTAACGTAACAATGAAAATTATGAGATTCATAAAAGAACCACACTGCTTACCAATAATGGATGACGGAAAAAGAAAGAGAGAGAAGAAGTAATCCAAATGAAAAGCATTGAAAAGTGAACCTAAATAATTAATACATTATTAAGTGATTTAATGAAATTTATTTTAATGGTTTATAACAAATGTTATTTAAATCATTTTAAAATTTTTTATTTTTTAAAATAACATTATTGAAGCTGAACTGAATATAAACTACTTAGCTTATTTAACGCACTTTTCAAATCAGCTGACTTACTGGCGCCACTAAGTTTTAAAGGAATTTAAAAAAATTTAATTTAAAAAACGTTCTCTCGTCACTTATTAATGTCAATTTGTTAATATAAATTCATTTGAATAGGCTGTTGAAGCATACATTTGCAGAAGGCAATGTTTTTTAATGCTCGTTTTTTCTGCTATGGCTGGAGAAATGTTCAAACCCTTTCAGATATTGTCGGAGTTTATTTTATTGTTGGTTCTTCCGTTTAAGTTCAAGAGTTTCTTCACAAATTTATTTAACTTTTTGTTGTAAAGTAAACTAATGATAAAATAGCAAAAATCAGCACTGGCTGGTAGATACAAATTTAAAAAATTAGTTTATTTAAAATTAATTGGAGTACAGTACTTGCACTTTAGTTTTGATTTGATTTATTTCCATTTTTTTTTTACATTTGAACAGGTCTCCAGTTTTTATGACCTTGTAATACTTGTTGAAAAGTATATGAAGACGAACAGACCAGAACCTTGGATTAGTAGAAATGAGTGTTTTTTTGATTATGAGCTGAAAGAAATCTTAATAGCTTTGAATTCTGCTCTAATACTCTCCACACTAATTGTGCTTGTCATCAAAAAAATCAAAGTAAATTAAGAAATTTTTCATTTAATTTGAATATTCTGGAAATAATCTATGCGGTGATTGATGTTTCCATTCAGTGGTCCTTTCAACACTACTCGCTGATAGCCTGGTTCATCATAGCTGCCCTGTACATCTGCTTCAATGTGACCTACATTATGCGACAGTCCATCAAAGTTGTTGATTTGCTAGCAGCCTGGAAGGCTGGGGAACGAATTAATTATAAATGGAAGTACAATTTGATTGTTGGTTCTCATTTTCTATTTGTATTATTGTAATGTTTTTGTTTCAGTGTTTTTATCTCATAATTTGCGTGAACTGCATTCACTTTGATGTTATAAATAATAATAAAATTAATAATATTATAAAACTAAAAGCAAATTTGCTTACAGACAGGAATTGTGTTGTGTTTATTACTGACCATGAGGCACTTTTTTCATGTTAGTAGCTTAGTACTGCTTACCTCCATTGCCTAAATTACTTCAAAGTTTTATGTTACAACAAATTGTAAAGTTAAATATTGATTATAATTGTACTGTCTTTTATTACGATATAATTAAATATATTAAAATACATTTACGAAAAGATAATTGAATATATTAAAATATATTTTTGAATAGTTCTGTGGGTTTAACTTCATGTACAATTATTACTTCTACCCCGAGTCGCCTGCTTACATCTATCAGCCACACTCGTCACCTGCAGACAGCGATGACAGGTTTTTCTTCCTACATCTTCCTCATGCTTTTTCAATTTTTGATTTTGATTTAAAAAGCTTGTCTGATTTTGTGTTGGAAAAATTTTTTTCTTCGTTTTAGGAAATTAATGTACGCACAATTCTAATTTGAGAATAAATGGTCAAAATGAAATTACGTTGTGACAAATGATGGTTTTCATCAGTTTCAGGGCAGAGGAGTGCGGGCGGCAAATTAAATCCTGCTACAGGAGGGAAAGAAATGCGAGAACATTCCCAATCATTGATCCCGTCGAAGTGGCAGTCACGGCAGTCCCGGACACCCACGAGAACGATCTACAAGAAGGAACATCCCAAACAACCCAACCGTACCCTGAAAGTTCGATCCCTACATTTTTTCCAGAAACAGTAAGCACTGTGTCATCAGTTGAATCAAAAAGTTCAAGAACAATTGTGGTTGAGGTTCACCAGGAACCCAGACGAGGTGCGGCGGTAGATGCAGATGAGAAGGTTCATTCCGGTCTTCCATCTCCTGAAGATGGTTTTACAAATTAGATCAATGTTCATCGTGTTAGTCATTCATCAATGTGATAAACACCAAATTTATATTTTTTGAAACATTTGTATTATAGTTGTTGAATAGTTTTTCTCTTTGCGGTTCTTTAAGCACTCGTTGCCTGTATTGTATAAACGCATATTTATTATTTATATACGTATCTTCATCATTGTTGGTTAAATGTTCATTTTCTTGAAAATTAAAACATTACAGTAATTGATTGAATCTTCATTGGAATAACGTAACAATTCAACGAGTATTCATGCTACAGATGACCACAGCTGGTCAGCATTCTTCAAGAATGTTTTTGTTCCATCACAAATTTAAGTTGTAAATATCAAATATCTTGAAAGATAATTTAGAAGTTACACAAACAAAATTAACAAACACGCTGTGTGGTATTGTATAAACATTACTATGAAAATTAAACTTAAGACTAAATTAAATAAACCACATATACATTTAAACTACTACTACAATGTTTGAAGCCCATGTTTATAAAACTGAAGTATCTAACACTGATTAGTATTATTGTTGCTACAACCATTAGTTAATTATAAATATCGACCATTATACAAAAGTTCTCTATTAAGTAACGATTGTAATGCAACCCAGAGTTAATTAAAAATACCTTGAAATACATTAAAAAAATTATGTTTAATGAATGATTTAATAATAAAAAGAATAATAATTATTAATATAAAACAAATAATAATAAAAATAATACGCAATAGAAAGATAACTTCTAAACGTTGTATATATATATATTATTACTGTCAGACAGTAATTATTATTTCTGAAATAATTTATAACAATTACGAAATAAACAATAAATAAAATCCGAGTTTAGCAATAACAAATTATCTACAATACAAAGATCTGTATAGAGCTTGATGATAGATAGAATTATCCGAATGCATCTAACAATAAACTAACATTTATTTAATTGATCGATCATGCTTATACTCACGCATAAGCAGTATATACACGTTTATATATATATATATATGCATATATATATATATATAATATATATATATATACATACATATACATGCATACAATCAATCTTCGTTTACCGTTCAGAGACCCAGTTTCCCGAGGTAGGACATACATACGTATACAAATATTTACTCAAGCACAAATTCAGAAAGCTCGTATGTGCGTATCATATCTGGAAAATAGAGGAATTAATTTCTATTTAAAAGGCACTGCAAAACAAAGAGTAGAGAGTCGACAGTTTCGTTGCTGAAAAATTCAATACATTGGCCTACAATAGATTTTTCTTAAAAATGAAAATATAAAAAGTGAGATTTGTAAGATAAGAACACAAGTTTGAGCGTTCATGTTTGAAAGAAAGGCTACAAATTATAATAAATATGATTAAGAAAGATTGAAAAGGTTAAAGGTGTCTGTTTCATTCAACATTGACGTGTATAATGATCTTCGCAACTTAGTTTTGGTTTAAGTAATATACAAGTGAAAATGATTGCAAAATGTCACCAACAACAGTAACGACATTTTGAGAATTTAACTGGCAAATGAAATCCTGCAAAACAACGCAACAACCTATTAAACAAATGTGCAACTGCTTTGTAAAGAACTTAAATCTAACTCTTCCTAAAAACATCCTAACAACTAAAAAAAAGCCATAAGAACAAAGAACAAAAAACAAAGAATAAATGAACATAAAAAACAAATAACGAATAAAAATATTGAAAAAAAAGAGAGATGGAAAAAGAGATAACAGAGAAAAAAAAGTTAGTGATAAAAATTGATATATTTTCACAGGGTTTGAACTCTCTTCTTTAGCTTCTCTAGTTCATCATAGACAGCCTGAGGCATATCTTTTCCAACTTCATCTTCAAAGAAGGACTTTGTTTCTTCCACATCTTCCATCCAATACTCTTTTGGCAGTGAGAAGAGTTCATCCCAATTGACGTCATCCAATCCACTGGTGTCTATAGAGCCTGTTAGTTACAAATTTGTTTATTTCAGGCATGTATGATAGCTATTTAAAGGAGCAAAACTTCGAAACACTTCCAGACAACTATTGCTTGACATCAAACATTTTACAGGTCCAAACATGAAATGAAACAAATTTGTGATGAACACCTCTTTAAAAATTTGCACCCACCTTTCTTTGGCAGCCAGCCAACAGGGGATTCTACAGCAACATCTTCACCATCAATCCTCTTAATCATCCAATCAACAACTCTGATGTTGTCTCCAAATCCTGGCCACAAGAACTTCCCAGTTTTCTGATCCAGTCTGAACCAGTTGACGTGAAATATTTTTGGCAGCTGTCTACCAGGCTGATCCATGGACAACCAATGATCCAAGTACTTTCCAAAGTTGTATCCAAAGAATGGTCTCATAGCCATAGGATCGTGCATGACTCCACCAGCTTTGTGCTCAGCTGCAGCAGTTGCTTCTGATTTCAAAGCAGCTCCGATCATTACTCCATGCTTCCAATCAAACGACTCAAAAACGAGAGGCACTCCCCTCGGACGACGACCCCCAAATATGATTCCTGAAATTGGGACCCCGTCTGGATGTTCCCAGAGAGGATGGATAACTGGACACTGACTGGCCGGCACACAGAAACGAGAGTTAGGATGGGCAGCTTTACCTTCCATTCCTATTTTCCATTTCTCACCAGTCCAGGTTGTGATGGAAGTGTTTGGATCGATCTCCTTCTCCATGCCCTCCCAAAAAACTTTACCATCATCAGTGATGCCAACGTTGGTGAAAATGGTGTTCTTCTGGGCAGTCTGCATAGCAACTGGATTCGTCTTCCAGTTAGTGCCAGGTGCAACTCCGAAGAATCCATTCTCTGGATTGATGGCTCTTAACTGTCCATTGGAATCAAATCTCATCCACGCTATGTCATCCCCAATCACCTGCACCTGGTTGAATGAGATGATTCAATGGCTGGCTGAATACATGAAAACTTGTGTGCATCTAGTTTGATGAAATATAACAAGATAAAATTCAAAAATTTTTCTAATTTATAATCTTTAAAAAATAAACAACAATAAAAAACAAATGGAAAAAAAGAAAAGTAACAAACTTTGAATCCAGGAATGGAGGGAGTCATCATAGCCATGTTGGTCTTGCCACAGGCACTGGGAAAAGCAGCAGCAAAAAACTTTTCCACTCCTTTTCGATCGGTGACACTCATGATGAGCATATGTTCGGCCAGCCACCCTTCATCTCTGGCCATGCAGCTGGCAATTCTCAGAGCAAAACATTTCTTACCAAGGAGGGAGTTGCCTCCATAACCACTTCCATACGAGATGACTCTTCTCTGCAACGGGAAGTGAGCTATCATGATATGTTCCGCATCATCTGGCCAGTGGTTGATCACCTGATAAGGTGGAGATAAAATTCTTCATTTAAAAATTGGAAAACAAGGTTGGAAATACTTATTTAACAAAACAGATTGGGACATATACAATCTGAAAGGAATTAACATAGAAAATTATACAGCTAACAAAAATAAATTCAAAACAGTGCTCTGACTCCCACCTTTCTCTGCAGAGGCCTGGGAGCACCAATGGTATGAATGCACTGAACGAACTCCTGATCTGGACTTTCTTCAATGGCATCCCACACTTCAGGGGTCACCCTGGTCATAATACGCATACTCAATATGACGTAATTGAAGTCGGTGATCTGAACACCACTCTTTGAAGCTGGACCACCGACGGGACCCATGCTGAAGGGGATGATGTACATGACACGCCCCCTCATACTGCCAGGCAGACGACTCGCCATCTCCTCCTCAGCCACACTCCGACTCATCCATCTGCCTAGCATGCCGTGTGGGATCTCCGTGTCATCTTTGTAACCTTCATACTTCTTGCCAGTTGGGACTGTTTCACTTCTTTTTTCTGTAACAATGAAAGTTTTATTTTCAACTCTGGCAACATCTTTTGGATCTGTTCTACAGGCAAAACATTTCTCCATGCCCTTCAAAGGAATCAAGAGGCCTCTGTCAACCAGCTTGTCTGCAATCTCTTGTTCTTCCTCCTCTGAGCCATCACATATGTACACACCTTTTGGTTGCAAGAGATCAACCTGATGCAATGGCAAAAATTAATCGATGAAAAACCAAAAAAATTATTAAAGTTCTTATAATCACTAGCAATAACTGACAAATTTTCAACAAAATTCTAAAGTTGTAACATCATTAAAAAACTAACATAAGTAGCCACAAATTCTTGAACTTTGAGAGGCAGTTCAAGAAAGAAACCCTTAACCACAGGAACGTGAACAACACCACCTTCAGGGAGAGTCACATCATCAACCTCCTCGATGATATCCTTTGAATCCATGATAGAGGTCACTCTGATCCTGTGTCCATCTGTCGTAATCTTGTTCTCGAGCTTCTTTTTATAGTTTTTTGCTATGGTTTGTGAGGAAGGTGGTTTTGGAGGAAGTCCTAGAGGTGGTTTTTGAGTTGCCATTTTCTGTTTTCTCTTCCTCTTGTATTTTATATTATATAGAAGACCACAGTTCTTACTTTACAAGTACTGATGTTTTTGCAACTTATTTGTTTATTAGTGGAATCTGTAACTAAAATAAAAAAATTATTTATTTTATTTTAATAATATATTAGTTAATTAATATAAAAAATATTTTTTCTAATTAAATATTTTATTTTACAGGCAGTCCTTTCTTTTCTTTTTCTCCAACAAATCTCAAAATGTATTACTACACTACTAATAAAACTAAATTTGCCACAAACCTTCTAACCTTTATAAAGGAAACAATTGAAGCCAAAGTCAAACAAAGCTTAAAAACATTCCTAGTTGCTAAAAATAATATGAATAAATAATAAACAGCAGAGAAGAACACTAAAGCAAAAAGTGAACAAATAAAATAAAAATTCACACAAGATACAAAAGCATTAATAAGCACACATCATCACAGAATCACAAACAGGATCACAATTAAATTACATTAAATTAAATATTAATGATTAATCATTACAATTACATTACAGATTACAATATAACATAATAATAATTACACTACTACATGGTATTACATTACATATTTAATTATGCCATACACTCTATAAGTCTATAACAAAAAAAACCAATTTGAATGAAACTTTTCATTTGTAAACTAACCGTGCTAAGGACGTAACTTCGACCGACACAACACAGGTTAGTTAGGTGACCTTAACTTACGTAACGTGTTGTATCGTGTGATGAATCAACGAATACAACTATCACCACACACTACACAAATATATCCTTTTATTTATCTTCTTATTCAATCATAATATATATATATTTATATAGTTAGATTTATATAAATAAATATAAATATAATATAACTATATTTAATTATTTTATATATTTATATATATTGTGTGTGCAGTGTATGTATATACGAAGCGGCGTTTTTACACGAAGTTAAATGAATATTTGAAGTTTAACATTTAAAGGTCGATAATGAATATTTCAAATAGTTATCACTTCAGTTCAGTGCTTTTGTATATAGAATTCATAGTTATCCTTGTTTTTAGGTTAGAAATTAGAATAATGTTCTAGTTTGAGATGAACTCATTACAAAAACTGTTAAATAATAATAAAAAAGATTGAACATTCCTTTTAATAAGCGAGTGTTATTGTATTTATACAAGAACTGTAGTTTAAAATGTTAGCACTACCATGTATTTATTTAGCCTATACCATATAATTAGAATAACATAACATACTGCATGACAAACCGTTTTTTGGTGTGAAATGTGTGCATGTGTTATAAATATGAAGTATTCGATTCATTTGATTAATCTACGTAAAAATGCCGATATGATGAAGTATCAATCTCCTTACTTAGGCAACGCAACCAGTCCAAATTTTTATCGTTATTACATCCGTGCTGACAATATTATTAAATGTATTAAATGATAGAATGCTTCCGTTATGTCAGATAAGACGCCCTTCAAAATTCATTAACAGACTTTTTTATGCCTTGCATGAGTGCACTCGAAGTTTGAAGTGTTAATTCATGATATGCTCGCTATTTTTAAAACTTGTAAGTATTTCTGCTATTACTATTCACAGGACTATACTGACTGAACGGTGAATACTACTACAACACAAAATATATATAACTACTCTTATTGCCAAAATTTCTACAACTATGGCTACATTCTAATGCCATAGATGCCAACTGCCAACAAACCAGGATCAATATGGATTTTATTATTATAATACCAATATGACATCCCAAATGATTTATGTGGGGACACGATTATTTCAAACGTTTGTAAGTATACTGCTTTTAATAACATAGTATGTGTTAATAGTACAAATGACAGTTAGAGTAATGAAAAATAATTATTATTGGTGCAATGTGGGTGAACAACTCTTGACCAAATATTTTCTGAATCAAACTGGTCAAACCGGTTAAACTTTATCTGAAAAAGTGTTAACGAAAGTTTACTTTTAATTTTTTGCAGCAGGAATTTACTTTTAAACTTGTCCCTTTAAAAATTTGTTTATGTTTTGACTTTAGTGAACGATCCGTTTTTTATGACAAATTAACAAATGGCGACAAATTCATCAACGATAGGTAAATTATTTATTAAAACATTTTTTTTCAGTTAATAAAAAATTCACGTTAATTCAAAATAGAAGTTAGGAAACCGAGGGACATGTTGAAAACATATTATGGCCTATCCACTGCTGATTCTTCAGCAGTCAACAATTTGAGCCAGCAGAGCAAGAGATCGTCTGCCGCTGATGGCAATGTCGGAAGTCCGTGCGACATCAACGGCTCAAATTTCGATCCGGAGATGTACCTGGATAAACTCCTAAAAGTCAATTTTTGATCAAAAAATATTTCATAAAAAATAACATCCATTTGCTCTTTAATTTCATTTTTCAAATTTGTACTTGACAGGAAAAAACATTGACAGAGCTAGTTGACAAAGAGCATGAGATGGTCAGGATGATTCGGACTTTGGATAGTGACATGCAAACATTGGTTTATGAGAATTATAACAAGTTCATCAGTGCTACTGACACCATTAGAAAGGTGGTGGGCTAATTATGCATGTGATGTGTAATAGTACCTATCAAGCATATATACATATATATATATATATATATATATATATATATATACATATATATATATATATATATATATATATATATATATATATATATATATTGTTTATCTTTATATGCATATAGGACATAAATTTAAAAAACATGTAAAAAAAAATTAGTTACTTTTATTAAAAAAGATGAAAAGTGACTTCAAAAAGATGGAAGACGAGATGGATAACCTGGTGAGAAAGATGGATGACATCACGACATTCAGCAGCAGCATCAGTGCAACACTTCAGGACAGGAGGCAGAAGATCACCAAACTATCTGGATGTGCACACTCTCNTTAAAGAAGGTTGTGATGATGAGGATGGTGGTGGTTGTGATGGTGGTGATAATGATGTTTTAGGATAGTAATGATGATGATGATGGTGGTAGTGGTGGTGATTATGATAATGGTGACTATGTCGATGTTGATAATGATTTATCTTGGTAATAGTTACAGTTTCTGTTTGATCTCCCAAACAAATTACAAATGTGCATCGACGAAGAACAGTATGTACAAGCAGTCAGGTATCATCATCAGCATCTTCATCATCAGCATCATCATCATCAGCATCATTCTCAACAACGTCATCATCGTCAATATCAGCATCATCATCAGCATCATCATCAACTTCGTCATCATCCTCAATAACGTCGTCATCGTCATCATCATCGTCGTCATCATCGTCATCGTCATCGTCGTCATTGTCATCATCATCGTCGTCATCATCGTCATCGTCAGCATCAGCATCATCGTCGTCGTTGTCGTCTTCATCACCAGATACCACATGAAAGCTCGGAAAGTTCTGCACCAGTATCAGAACATGCCATCTTTCCAAGGCATCCAGCAAGACTGCAGTGAAATTGTTCAAGTGCTAGTCCAAAAACTAAGACAACAGTTTAATAAGAGAGATGTGTGTCTTTGTGTGTATGTGTGTGTGTTGTGTGTGTGTATGTGTGTTTGTGTGTGTTTGTGTATTTGTGAGTATTTGTATGTGTATGTTTGTAAATTTGTACGTTTATGTTTCTTGTTGGTATTTCACACTATTTGCTGGTTGTTTATTAAGTTTTTGATTTGTCCGTCTGTGTGTGTATTTTATTTGTGTGTTCTTGTGTTACTATCATCGTCATCATCATCATCAGCATCATCATTATCACCATCGTCATCAGTGCAGTGCCAAGCAGCTGACAGAATGTGTTGACCTGTTGCTGCAGCTGAATGAGCCAGCCGACATGCTCTGTGATGAATTTCTTACCCAGTAAGATGATGATGATGATGTTGCTGATGATGATGACGACGACGATGATGATGATGGTATTGATGATACAAAGTGGTAATTATGACGACGA